ACCGGTACACAAGCGCAGGATTTGAAAGCCAGGGAATCACGCTTTAGGCTCAGGGCGTCATTTCTAGGCTCTGCTCAGAGACCCCAGATTTGTAAATGAGCTCGAGAATCTGGAATTCGTGAATCTGGATTCGTTTAGCGAAGCAGAGAGGAAGTTTTGAACCAGTAGGTAATTTTTTTATGTTACTTGTCCATCTTTCTCAAGTGTTTCTCTGTTGAATTGGAAGGCGTGCATGTGGTGGGGTTGTCATGGAAACTGAAGTGGATTATGGGGACGGGGGAGGAGTGAGTGACATCATCATGGCATGGTTTCATTTTGCACATATGTGTGCTCCGTCAGAGATAGATGGACACTCTTGGATTGTGTGCAGTCAGTGTCCTCCAAGGGTCCTGTCCTGGGTACAATCTGGCCAATGTGGGTCCCAATTATGAATAGTGCCACATAGTGACTGATTTGTAATCAATAACCTGTAGTGAATAGACCCAAGCACCTCATTGGCTCAAGACCTAGTCATGTGCTCACACCATGTATCCATGTGTGTATTTACACTGTCTGTAATCCGGTCACACGAAGCATGCCTTGGGCTTCTCTGCATAATCCCAGAGAGCTGCACCTGCTCACACATCCATAGCCTACAAGTGTACAGTCACAGAACTGTACCATATGCTTTAATATACGGACAGCAACCTTTTGCACTCTTGGGGACACTCCATGTTCTTGGTGTGTGCTATTCTGTCCTGTTATTGAATTCCTAACTCCAATGCAGTGTACGACTGTTATGTTGGCAGCCTTAGCTTTGGAACTGCCGCCGTGAATGCTATTTAGTGGGTTCTTTGAGAGTACTTTTTTCAAGTGTCTAAATGAAAATAATTGGAAGCTTATATTAATTGTGGAAAGTCTTTTTCCTAAAGGCAACCTCAGTCAACCGCAAACCTTTAATGCCCTTAAAAACCAAGCCATTTGCAGATTTCTTTGCATTTACGAAGTGACAAACCTTAAGGCCTCTCCTAAAGTCTTGACCGAGACTTTTAAACAGCACGACCTTGTCCTTAGGTGTCATTCCAGGGGTCTAGTGTAACTCCAAGTTACCGTAATCGTCATCTGTGAAATCAAACGAGCTATTTAAGAAACAAATCTGATTGACAGTCAATTCCACTTGCTTTCGTGAAAATGGAATAGACAACAGATGGAAATTATAGACATTAGCAAGACATTCTCAAGTGCAGGTGCTGACCGCAGACCACTTCTCAGTTCCTGTCACTTTTTAATACCAGTGGTGGCAAGAGATGGAGTCTACAACCCCAAAAAGGGACTTAGGAAGTGTGGTTTGGCAATATGAGATCTCCAGAGAATGCAGGCGCTACCAGGAGACATGGGGGAGGCAATAGTAAAGCAAAAACCCAGCAGCAGGACCGCTACCTCCATCTTTGTCTGACCTCTAGCTCAATCATTCAGTTACAGACATCATGAGGGTGGTATGACGTCCCCATGTGGGTGTCCACAACACGACATTTGCCATTTAACCGAGAACACCAAGTTTGGCCAGATCATCACTAGCTGCACAGGTTCACACTGAGCACATGTGCCAAACATGGAGAATGTTCTGCCGCCTGCAACATCCTCCAGCTTCACCGGTTCAGCAGTAGGTCAGTAATGGTATGAAGTGGCATTTCTTTGGAGGGCCGCAGAGCCCCCCATGTCCTTGCTTGACTGCCAGTAGGTACAGAGACGCGGTTGGCCCTGGGCTCCTCCTAATGTCAGCTGGAATGTGTCTGCCAGATGAAGGCTTTGATGCTATGATCTGTTGCCCAGACCTGAATCTAATTTAGAGCATCATGAGGACCAAACACTGTGTTACTTCACAGACTGTCCAGGAGTTGGTGGATGCTTTAGTCCAGGTCTGGGAGGAGATCCCTCTTGAGACCATCCGCCATGCCCAGGTGTTGTAGGTAAACATAGAGAGACGTGGAGGCCACACACACTACTGAGACACAGTTTGTTTTGTTTAAGGAGATTACTTTAAAGTTGGATTCATGCAGTGTGTTTTTTATTCACTTTTGAGTGCGACTCCAAGTTCAAACCTTCATGCATTTGCTGCATGAAGCGCATTAAACCCAAACATTTAATAAGAAAAATGTTCATCAAAAAAAGAAATTTGTAGAGGTTAAAAGAGGGTGAGGGGCGTGTGTTGTCCTTTTTAGCGAACACAACGTGTATGTGAGTAGAATACCCTGTGGGATAAAAGACCCCTAAACAGCAGTACATTGAATTAGCTCTTTATGACCTAATTTTATTCCGTTTTTCTATTTATTCTCATAAAAAAGCAAGATCTACAGAAAACTGAACCATATCAAAAAGACCTGCCCAGTATCTGTGACAGGCAGAAAAACAGAGGTCATTTTGTTTCATTTTTCTTGCCCAAACGTATAAAACATCTGTACTTTTACTGTTTTTCAACCTGCCTTAACTACTTTATTATTTTTGAAATGTATTTTTTCTAAAGAGATCACAATCAAATTGCGTATACAGAAAAGATCCCCAAAAAATGAGATCTAGTGAATGTAACCAATCCAATACCATCAGATCAGTGCATTCAGTAGAAATAGAAATTATTTTGCAAGAACAGCACGTTTCTTTTCTTTTCTCATCATTTCAATCGCCAGGAAACTAGCTGAATGTTTAATTATTCTCTCTCTGTCTCTCATTCTGCTTTTCTACTGTCGTGTGCTCTTTATAATCACTCTTTTTCTCATTGTCTCTATTTCGCTCTTGCTTCTCACTGTTTTCTCCTTCCCTCTTTCTCTAAATCTTTCTCTCTTCCTTTCTCTTTGCTCTCTTTCTTTTCTTTCACTGTCTCTATCTCATTCTCCTGTGCTTCTATCTTTTGTTCTTTCACTCTTTTTTATCTCTCTCACTTTCTGTCTCTTTTCAATCTATCCATCTCACTTCTATGTAACTCTCTCCTTTCTTTTTTCTCTCATCTCCTTTTCCTCCATCTCTCTCTCTCTCTCTCTGTCTCTTCATGCTATCTGTCTCTTCTTTAGTGCTTTCCCTTTTCTCTAATTCTTCCCTCTCTCTCTCTTTTGCTCTTTCTATACCTATTTATTTTTCTTCTCTCTCACTTTACCTCTTCTCTTTTTCCATCTTGCTTAGAAACACCCTTTAAAAATGACTCAGATGTAATACTCACTACTCCTGAGTAGCTTTAGAAGAGCTACTTTTTACTCACACAACTTTTTGCTCACCAAGTAAAGCTACGTTTACTGTATTTCAGTACTCTTTAAACCACTGATAACAGCAGAATAAAAAAAAAAGTCATAAACGGACAACATGTGCAATGGAGCCGTACAAGGGCAGGACAAGGGTATGACGAAGATGCCTTTCACTCAAGAAACCACACCCTTAACTCTGCACATCTATAAACCCTAATAGAACTAAAACTAATGAGTTCTCAAACTTGAAGAACCAGGCTTTAGACATGTTTTTTTTATCTGTAAAGTTGTCTGTTTTAACATGGGTGTCAGTGGGAACCTGTTCACTTCCCAAGTGGTAAGACGAGGACCTGCAGTTTCAGTCCTTCCTATTATACATCCAGAGGGAAAGTGGGAGTCCTGCCGTTTAGCAACAGAAGTTCAAGGTTTCCATCGGATGACAACTTTGATGTATTTCTACATTAAAAGACATAAAAGAATGAATTTTGTGTGAATATTGTGTACATTACATTGTCTGTCAAATTCATCTTCATGAATTCCCCTGCACCTCGTGTTCTCTGGAGGCCTCAGAAAATAAAGCTGTTGTTATTCCTATTTGTTCCCCCCCACCATCCTCATTGCAGGGAAAGGTGGTTATTGAGTGTGTTCTTGTGTGCAGATCTGATCTCAGCAACAAATGAGACAAATGTGAACATCCCTCAGATGGCTGACACACTGTTTGAGAGGTCCTGCAATGCCAGCTGGGTGGTGGTCTTCAAAGCTTTAACCACAACCCATCACATCTGCATCTACGGCAATGAGGTGATCCTTTACTCTTTGCATCACTTTCGACTTCTCTTCATTCACTGCATGACGTTCTTTGTTAGGATTTTAAAGCCCACAGTTTAATTCTGTCATCATCATGGAGTGTATTTTTCAGAATGTAGATTTTCAGACGTTTCTAGCATGTTCTACATCTGTTTTTTACCAAATACATACATTCAGCTTCATTCAAGCTAATTTGTGTGATAAAATAATAATTAAAAAAAAAATCTAATCTAGCATGACCAATATAGCATGCTTATGTAGCCTTATCCATAACCAATCAAATTTTTACTACTTTATAATTTGTTCTAATAAATTACCTTTAAAACGTTTTTTTTTTTTGTGGCTCTTTCTGGCCCTGTTTTCTTTACTGCAAATATCTAAAAACAATTTGTTGGGAAAAAGAAAAAAAAAACTTAAATTCCCCAAAAGGCACAGACTAGGTCAGGCAAAAAAAAAAAAAAACTCTCCTGAATATATCTCCTGAACCTCAAACACCGTTTCAGTATTGTTTGTCCTGAAACTCTCAGATTCTTCCATTTGCATCCATACAGAGATTCATTCAGTATTTGGCCTCCAGAACTTCCCTGTTCAACCTCAGCAACTTTATCGACAAAACAGGCACCCACGGTGAGTTTCTGTTTGTCAGTTTAGTTTAACTGTGAATAAGCGTTTACATTATAAGTAAATATATTTAAATCTCTGTATATTGTAATTCATCTAAATGCAATTTTGTTGTTCTTTTTTAAAGGTTATGACATGTCTACGTTCATCAGACGATACGCTAGGTACCTAAATGAGAAGGCTTATGCTTACCGTGCGATGGCCTTCGACTTCACTCGAGTTAAGAAGGGGTACGCTAGCTGAATAAAAATTATACACAGTGCAGATTCGATTGTACTGTATGACAACATTACGTTATTGCATTTGGCAGACGATTTTATCCAAAGCGACTTACATTTTGAATGAATCCATTTTTTGGCAGTTCTTGCCTGGGATTTAAACCCACATCCTTTGCGTTGTTAACACAATGCTCTACCAACTGAGCCACAGGAAAGCCAGAAGTAACATTCCTCTATGAGCAAAAGCAGGGATTGTTTCTCAAGCAGCATGATTTTAAGGTTTGGTAACAATTTCGTCTAAATGTGTTTGTGAGAATAGAGCTGAGGGTGTGATGAGGACCATGGCCACTGAGAAGCTCTTGAAGGGCATGCCTGCCCTGCAGACCCAAGTGGACACTCTGCTGGAGTTTGATGTGAGTAAACCATGCACAATGCTTTCTGTGTAGCTCTCAAATCAAATAGATGTCTTTAATGGTCTGTATTAAGTGACTGCCGTTTAGAGGTAGGATTGACTTGATTCAGAGCTGAAAATGTTACTTAACCCTTAGAAGTCTGTGAACGAACCGGAGCAGGTGCCAATCACATCGGCTGCTTTGAATTAAGTAGAAATGCTACGACCCACCTTTTGTTTAATTTTGATTGATATTTTTGGTTTTAAATGAACACTGCAATAGTTATGCCACATAATTAGCAAGGTAGTTCAAATTAAATTGTGAGAAGTGGTGAAAAGAAGGGATAATCCTTGGAAGTACAAGACCTGTGAGATGGAACAGTGTTTAGGAAAGGTTTGTCTGTTTTTGTTTATACAATTTTAACAATGTTTTGACATTTTATTGATTTTTGTAATGAAACAGAAAAACGGTTTGCTCTCGACTTTTACATTTTTGCCGTAAAAAAAGACAAAATTTAATGATCATATTTTTTTGCACAATTTTAGGTTTGTTGTGGAATTATTGTATAATGTAATAAGAAAAGAAGCTGGGTATGTACAAAATAATATATATCAAGCATTGCCATAAAACACTGTTCATTTATTAGAGCAAATAATAGACCGTTTTATTCATAATAAACATTTATAAACATAATGAAAAACAATTAAATTCAAAATCCATTCAAAAGTAAGTGATAAAACTACAAGCTTTTATAATGTCAGATCCACCTCTGAACTCTGAAAATGCATCAAGCGAAGCAGCTCGAGCCACCAGACTGGAGAGGTCAAATCTGTGAAAACTGTGCATTTTTTTTTTTACTTTGGTATTGTTCTATTGTATATATTAGCGCTTAATATCGCGCTAATAATACATTTAAATTATTATAAAATACCGTATACCGAAACGGTACGCAAGTGTACCGAACCGAACAGGCCGTACCGAAACGGTTCAATACATACCGTGAACCGTTACACCCCTAATATATATATTTACCAATCGGATACATGAAATCTACAGCTAGATTTTTATTTTTAACTGACGATTTGCTGTCTGTGTTTAACTATTTTGAGGATATTATTGTGTCAGGACTCAGGAATTAATTCACATAGTCATTGTTAGTGTTTGAAACATTCCCTCCTCTCGTTTTTGCTCAGGTTCATCCTAAAGATCTGAACAACGGCATCATAAACGCAGCGTTCATGCTTCTCTTCAAAGATCTCATCAAGCTCTTTGCCTCCTACAATGATGGCATCATCAACTTATTAGGCATGAGTCTAATCAATATTTATTAAATACCTCCCTTCTAAATTTCTCAAATGATTACGTCATCTGTTTTTGGTTTTACAGAGAAATACTTCAAAATGAAGAAGTCAGAGTGCAAGGACGCACTGGAGATATACAAGAGATTTCTGACCAGAGTGACCAAAATTGCAGAGTTTATGAAAATTGCTGAAGTAAGCGAATAAGTAGATGATTTTACATGAAATATGTGCCAATTAACTGAGTGGTTATTGTTTTTCTGCCGCAGCAAGTAGGAGTGGATAAGAATGACATCCCTGACATCTCTTATGTAAGTCAGCCATCCTACATGCCTTTGTTTGTTGATCTTATTGCACAAGCGTTCCATTAATACTACAGTTTATACCCGCTATTGACTTTTAGATATCACAGTTTAAAAGCCTTTGAAATAATCAAGTGCAGCTTGTCAAAGAGCTTTTTCAAAGCATAATCAAATCTGCTTCCTCCGGGGATTCCCAGTGTCTGCATCCTGGTGTAGTCTCTGATCTGGCAGATTCAGACAATGAGGAGTGCCCCTTTAAAGACTGTTGCAACGAAGAGCCGGTAACCATGGCAGCAGTTATGGGAGATGGTCTGTTTCTCAGTGCATTGATTTATCCTGCTTCTACACTGGTTTGTGAGGGGTTTAAAGATAATAACTCGTGTGATTAGCCCAAGCTAACTTCTCAAATAACTAAAATCAGCTGCCCTTTTTTAAGGTACAAGCCTCTGTCAGAAGCCAACTAATTTATTGACTAACCACTTTAGCCTGGTGCAATAAGGGAACAAATTCCCATTGATTCCAACAGTAAGGAACAGCAAAAAAGTTTGAAAGGGCTCTCGCACCTTGCACCACAGATATAAAGTTTGAGCAAGTGTGAGACATGCTAAAGTACCCATTTTTGTAGGGTTTTACAAAGTAATTGACTTCCTGTTCCTGAAACACGCTCCAATAGACTCTTTAGAAGTTAGGGTCCTGTACATAAGTTTTCCAAAATGTACTTCAATCACTGTCTTCAATAGCATTATTAAACTGTGGTATATTCCATGGGACCTCTATGTGGCTCTATGATTGACACTGTAGATTGTGATATAGATGAGTTCAAAAATTGATACACTTGACAGGTTTCATGCTGATCGGACATTAAATATTTGAATAATTAACAACTTCATGCTTCTTGGAAAACCATCGTAATTTTAGAACCGTTCAACGAATGGTTTAGATGAGACTCCCAGATTTTGATCACATGAAATCTCTAGTAGGTGTTTGTCAATGTGCACAGCCTGAAATTGGACTAAATTTCACAAGAAAATTGAAATAACTCACTTCCTGTAGGTTTTGGAAACTCGCTCTAATTTACTTTTTTGTAGGTATTGGTCCCTTACATTAGTGTTGAATGTCCTTCAAACACAGCCTGAAACAGCAGAATAAAACAACAGAAAATGGGATGTTCCATGTTAGGTATAGTGCCACGAAGCTGCGATATAACTACCACCATGGGCTGCTATATAGATTTGTTCAGACAAGGATTCTTAACACACATTGCAAATTTGAACCCGATCAGACATTGCATGGCTGAGGTATAAACAACTTAATGGTGAAATTTGATTTTCGCCAACCCCCAGGCACACATAGTTTAACAAAGTAAAAAATCTTTGCAAATGACCTTCCCACATGCCTTATGATAAAACATGCCTTATGAGTTTGGAGATGAAAAAAATGAAATCTCTAGGAGGAGTTTGTTAAAGTATGACATGAGCAAAAGTGGCCATTTTTAGTGGGTTTTTTTTTGTGAAATTAGTACACAGAGGATTTTAGTTAATTTTCATCTTCATGACAGCTCTTCATCTTCATTTTAAATTATATTAAAGAAGACCTCGGATGAGATTCCAACTTTTCAAGGTGTTTAAACAGAAATTATGCTTTTTAGTCAGTGTGTACAGTAGTGTCCTAAAATTATCATCTCTGAAATCTATAACAAAATTTAAAAATGATCACATCTTAAAAATGCCTCGGGACATCAGAATACTTAGCATCCCACACATCTTTAATCCAGCCTTTGTGAATCTTCATCTCACAGTCTCTCTCTCTGAGCAGCAATTCATTGTTATTTAGCTTAAGAGGAGCGATGGCTTCAAAAGTCTGTGTGACATCTTTGGGTCTAAAGAACTATATTCATGTACTCAATCAACTAAACCACCATGGACACAGTGGAGATGGTGTATTTAAAAACAAAATACATTGCATTTAAAAATAAAACACATTGTTTTGCAATGAAATAGAAATAAAACAATATTGGCTCGAATAGGAATAGTTAATGAATATTTAAAATTCAACAAGTCCATTATTTTTATGGCTTTTTGACAATGTTCAACCTCTGAAGAGTTTGAAATTAAATAATAATCGAATTTTGAGATAGTTGTGTTGGCTTCAGAATGTATCACTGCTAAAATCTGTCCAACATAAATGATGCATTCTCAGCCAAACCACTCCCAGACTCAGATCACACGTGTCCTTGGTTTGTGAAGCAAGAAACAGCAATGCACTGATACCCAGTACACTCCCATGGTTTTGATTGATTTTGTAGTGCTCTGATTGAAGGTTTCAGCTGATTTTGATGCATGTTTGAATCCGCTTTAGGCAATACTGAAATCTGCCAAAATCTGGTTCGTTTGGGTTTGTTTGTATTTGCTGTGCTTCAAATTTCCCTTGAACTTTTAAAGCAATTTTTGCACATAATTTACATGTGTTTGGTTTATTCTGCTGTGTTCAGGCACCCAGCAGCATTCTGGAATCCCTGGAGACACATATGAACAGTCTAGAGGGCAAGAAAGGGTACGAAATCCCCAACCTCTCTCTAAATCTCTGAATGTTAAAAGTGGTGCATTACGTGGTTATAGAGTGGATGTGACAAAGACCACAACTAAAGTAACATGTGTATTATTATTAAACATTATACCTATGTTCTTTTCCCCTCTTGCAATGATTTCTTCAGTGAGGGGTGAGTATATTTAAAGAAAATCATCATTCTTTTGTTCTTTTAAACATGTTATGTCATATGTTATGTATATATTAAACAATCTCTACTTATCTACTTAACTCCTTCAGGTCACCCACAAAGGCAAGTGCCCCTTTACATTTGTGTTTAGAATTTTTCCAAAATAATTTCCTAAATAATTGTTACTGTGTGTTTTTTAGGGATCCCCAACCAATAATGTGTCTCCCACATCCACTCCTGCCAAATCCGCTGCAGCTGTGCCCACTCTTGAGCCACCGCGCAATGAGGCTGCTCCTGCCGCGGCCGAAACTGCCACAGAGTCAGTGAATCCATCAAACATCCATCATTTCCTGTCTGTTAAATTAATAATCAGAAAAACACTAAATTATTCTATACATAAGTGACTTTTTCTTACTCTAGTTCTCTACTGGACCTGGACCCATTGTCCTCCTCTGGACCTTCAACAGGAGGGGCATCCGCTGCACCCACGTCTTGGGGAGGTACAG